GAAATATAGATAAGTCAAAACATTATAATATTATGAAGTAAAATGAGGACATTTTTGCAACAAAAATTTAAATGAACAAGGATTTATATGCTTTCATCTCATCGAAAAAAAATAGAAAGAAATCAGCTGAACCCGTGAAGATTAGAAGTGGCGACGCTTGACATCAGAAAATCCCAATATCGATGTTTTAACGAAGATTGACCTCATCACTATATTACAGATAACTGATTGCCAAAAGTTTGAATGTAATAAATATAGATCTAAATATTATTTATAGTATCTGGCTTTTAAAAGTTCAACATCGAATGGGCCCATTTCAAAAATATTGACAGCTTTCTGAAGGGCCGAAAACTTTGAAGAGTTTACTTTGATTCAAAGATGAGGATCATTTAGAACAAATAATGTTATACCCACCAATCATTCTATGCCCTGATATCAGAAATAAGACAGGTATTACACCCCTAATGTATGGTTTTTAATTTGAGGAAATCTCTAAAACTGCCGAGTTTAATAATAAGTAAATGATGATGAGAGCCCTAAAAAAAAAAAAATAGATAGCAAATGAAATTAATTGATCTTTTTTAATAAATATGTTGAATGATGAGTTACGGAGTAAATAATGTAAAAACCTGACCAATTGAAAAAAAATATCTTATCGGTAAAATTTACATTTAACTGATATGTTTTTGGATATTATTGATTTTCAAATTCTAATACCAAAGCTATTTGAATTAATGCCAGCAAAAGGAAAGTGGTTTTGGATGGTTCGCTGAATGGCGTATAGATTTTTATTTATTTTTTTTTTTTTTACATTAAATTGAAAATAAGTCAAAATCGTTTGAGGTTTTTAAATTGGTGAACGAAAGAAATTATTTATACGGAAGGAAAATATTTAGCCAAATCCACGGAAAATATGTTGCTTCATAAAAAATATATTTAAATGAATATATAAATAGGGCAAAATAAAGTGACAGAACGTAATTTGTACATAAAAAAATAAGACTAATAAAAGAGAGGCAAGCATTTTAATAGGGTGGGGGGCGCTTTATTTTCAATTAATAACGACGCGAAACATTAAAATGAACTATAAAAGCTTTTAAATGCCACATCCCTTCAGGACATAGACGATTATGGCTCACCAGTTTTGTTTACTTTATAATCTGTCAATTGCTACACATTCTTGAGAAAGATAGAGCAGAATTATTGTTTTCTTCAAAATTATGGAAAGAGTTACGATATAAGGCTTAATTTGAATGGATGATATTTAAAGTAAACGAGGAGGGAAGAATAAAATGTTCCTTAGAAATCAAAAGAGACAAGTTGATGTGAAATTCAAGATCTGATCACGCCCTGACCAAACTGATTCAAACGTTTTCCTTTGTTAAAAAACAAAACTAAAAAAACCGAACTTGTCGATTATGAGTTTTAGCAATATTATATGAAATTAAAGAAGATAATGACGTTTGTCTCTAAACCTTTAAAATTTGAATAGTAGAAAAAAAAAGGACTCGGCCTACCATAAAGAAGGCCAATATTTTCTCACAAATTTGGTTTAAGAAGGTATTGGTTTACAGAAGATCAACCATTTGCTTCTCGATGAAAGTAAAGACATTTTTTTTTTGTTTTAATATTTTTGTTTTGTCAAAATTGACGTGATAAATATTTTTATTCAAAATGATCTAGCTGGTAGCTATTTTTTCAAAAACAAGTAAACTTTAAAATTAAGAGAAAAAATCTCATGACTTTCCAACAAAAAAAAAAGGAAAAGAAAAAAAAATTTATTTAAAAAGCTTAATTAATGGCGTAGAAAATTTTAATCAAAACGTACATGACATCAAATTAAGAAACTGGATATATGAATTTTTAGGAAAACAACAACTTCAGTTTACAAGCCTGCCTTCTGGTAATGATTTTTTTTACATGAACGTGAGGTTATCGTAGAATGTTCTGATGTGGTTTAAAACAATCCAGGACGTTGGATGGACCTGATTCAGACAGCAAAAACGCAATGAGTTTAATAACGGTGGGGGCTCCGCGTGTTGAACATGTTTTTTCGTTTTGATGGTAACCTGGTTTTGAGATTTTACACCTGACAACCAAGTTGGGAAAGTAGTTAATGCCCCAAATCGAAAATTTAAGTGAAGGCGTCCCCGAGTGGCTTCTACAGGATGAAGCCTCTGTTCATTACGCTATGGCGGTAAGAGACTGGCTGAATGGTAATTTCCATAAATTGATTGAGACTTGGCAGTATAGAATGGGTTCCTCGCTACTAACATAGATATCAATCTTCTTTTACTTTTTCTGGGGGCCTGTTGAAAGATAAGGTGGTTTTCGGTATATATATATATATATATCTATATATATATAAAAATCATATTGCTATATTTATAGGATAAGATAACTCATTATCGGCAATACAGTATTTGTAAATGTAGATAGTATGGAGATGGATATCAACACGGTCTATCGTCTCTCTCACCCAATTTAAATTTATACTCGTAGTCAATACTAACTTCAACATATACAGTAATAGGGTTCGATAGGACAAAGCTTATTTAAAAGAGAAAAAAAAATATTACATTTACAACTAGTTTCATTCTGTAAATAGCGATTGTCGGGCCAGGACATTTGTAAATATGACACACGGATGAAGTCTACATCCGGGTTCATTAAGATAATTGGTTTCCGCGACATTCAAATACGAAATATAACTGACACAATTTAAAAAGAAAAATAACCTGCCTGTCTTTAAGCTCTGTTTGCGGAGTAAAATAAGAGTTGTTATGATAATATATACAACTTCAAATGTTATTTTTAGTGGATAATCGTATTCGAGCATTCGCTCAATTTATTTATTAAACAGTATATTTATTTATTTCTACTGGGAAGAATGTTTAAGAAATATTATTAAAGAAAAATTTGCACTTTACGGCAGGATTTGAACCCGCTTCCCTCAGGGCAAAAATGCTACCGGAGAAAGTAAATTTTTCTTTAATAAGATTTCTCGAACATTCAGGCCGGTAGACGAAAATAAATATAATGTTAAATGAATAAATTGAGCGCTGACTCAAATACGATCATCCACTAAAAATAACGTTTAAATTGATAACAATATAAAAAAAAATTCTAAAATTCTCATTATATATATATATATATATATAATACACACACAGGGTATCCCAAAATAATGTATACACTCTTTGAATCATTATAACTTATTCAATTTATGTATTTTGACTTGTAAATAAGATTAATACAAGAGAAAGAATACACATTTAAAGAATTTGAGAGTAAAAAAAAAAAAAAAAACATAAAAAATTAACTTTAATAAGATAAAAAGCTACTTGGGGCAATGGCAGAATATTCATATAATGATGAGTTCACATCAAGTGTTCAAACTGGTTGCCGTTCTGTTCAATACACTTTTCATATCTTGAAGAAATAGACCTACAAATGTCCAGTATCATTTCCTCTGGTATTTGAACACATTCTTCTTCAATTGCTACTCTCATTTCAGCAATTGTTTCAGGTTTCCTGCTGTAAAATTTGTCTTTTAGAAACCCCACAAAAAAGAAATCCAAGGGTATCAAATCTGGTGATCTAGGTGGGTATTCAATTTTCCCTCTTCTTCCAATCCATCTGTTTGGCATATTTTCATCCATACAAATTCTCACATCACGGTAATGTATTATTAACTATTAATATTTAAAGAGTATATACATTATTTTGTGGTACCCCATATATAAGCGTGTATGTTTCTGTGAACTTATAAAGTAAATGTAAGTCGTTCTTGTAATTAATCAGGATTCAATTAAAAAGCGAGACACTGCAGTGATAGCTGGCACTTTGTTCATATTTGATATGATCACGTCAGTTCACAGACTTATTAATCTGATGAAAATAGGCATCGAAACGTTGCTAAAATTATTGAAGGAATATCGATTTATTTTTTGAAATGATATTCATGTTTGACGTTTTGTTTTCGATTGACAGGTCATGCGTCTAAAAAGACGTTATTTGAAAGCAAAACAGCAACGTAAAATTATCTGCCCTCACAAAGATTGGGTTCAGAGCCGTACTTTAAAACAGGGAATTTGTTGAGGTCCTGCTGAAAGCTATTCCTGAGTTTCTCATTCACTCCATCACACGAGAACGCAAACACGAGTGCAAACGCAGTCCTAAAATACAGAAATATGTATAGCGAAAAACGGAAGATATAACAGATTATTTTATACTTTTGTGTGTGTGTGTTTATAGAGAAGACAAGTATGCAGGTAGTCGAAATTGTGTGATGCTGGACTCAGGAAATTTAATTTCAGTCAAAGTGACACACGCAGAAAATTCACAAATGCAAAACTAAAATAAACTTTTTGTCTATTTGTTTTTGCCGTTTGTTCTAAGCAAGAAACCGTGAGAAAAAAGGGAAGACAACTCTTGAAATACTTCCATATAAGTCAACATAATTTAATATGGCAAGATAAAATGTATTTACGTCAAAGAATGGAGAATCTCTTCTTCGTCTAGATCGGATTTAAGTCTGACTGCTTCTTTTGGTTATTTTTCTTTCTTTCCTATTGTACTTGACGGTCGAGTTTTCTTTACTACAACTTTGAATCCAGCATATCTGATGATCACTGGGCAAATCAGGAAAGACATCTTGAGGCTATGGAAACTAGAAAGCAACGCGTTAAAAAAAAAAATGATAAATGATGTAATGCGTAGAAGTAAGTAAGTACTGTCGGTGAGTTAAAATTAAGCCTCATCCATTTCCTATACACAAAGAACACAAGAAATATTAGAAAACTTTATAAAGTTCGAAGCATAAACTAAGCCTTTTCAGTAATGTTTATTTTTTTTAATGCCATATCATTTCAGAATGTCGACGACCATGAACTCCTCAGATACTTTTTCTTGGTGAATTTTCCATTATTTCTTGGGAAAGATAGTGGAATAGTTTCTTGTTTCGTTACCCACGGTTTTGAATACGAAGTTTATCCCTGCTATTTCAACCTATTTGAAGAGAGAAAGAGAGAGAAAGACAGAGAGGAAAAAAAGAAAAAAAGATTGGAGAATAAAAAAAGAGAGAAAGATAAAGAGAGAGAAAAGAGAGAGAAAGAAAAGAAAGAGAGAGAAACAAAGAGAAGAAAGAGAAGAGAAATAGAAAGAGAGAGAGACAAAAGAGAGAGAAAGAGAAAGAGAAAGAGAGAAGAAAGAGAAAAGAAAGAGTAAAAGAGATTAGATTTTTTGCTTAAAATTCTGACAAAAAGTGATAGAAAGCATTTTACTGGACGCAAAAAGTAAAAATACGGGCTACAATTTCTACGCGGATTCCCCTTCACGTGAAGTTAATAGTTACGATAGCCGTGCTTAATTTTGCAATAGTTGCAGAGTGAAAATAGTGAAATATTATTACCAGTTTTTATACTGCCATTCCTGCGAAATGAACTCTTTTCAAATACACGAACATATTAGTTTATATTACATGTTTATGAATAAACAGAAGCACACACATTATATCTCCATCCATCCAAGAGGATAGAATCCAGGTAGGGCAAGAATATAATATAAGAGGTTCAAACAATAATATTCCATGATTATAATTTACTACATTGGAATCGTAATCACGATCCAATTCAGACCTTCAAATTCAAAAAGAAATCGGAAAATATCTTTTTGAATTTGTAGGTTTGAGGAATTGGATCGTGATTACGATTCTAATGTAATAAATTATAGCAATGGAATATTATTGTTTGAAACTTTTTATATATATATATATATATATATATATATATATATATATATATATATACACGTAATGCCTTCAGATAAGAGTTCAATTCGCCCCAAAACTGACCTTGTAACTCAAAACACGAGAAGCTCAAATCAATTTTCCCCGATTAAAATTAATGGAAATATTTACGATCCGTTCCTAAAAGTCACTTATATTTTTAAAATCATTTCAGCCCAAGCAAGGCGAAAATGCCACTAATACGCAGAGGGTTACAGGGAGTGAAAGTTAGAGAAAAGACTGGGTATAGGAGGGAATAGAGGAAAGGATAAAAGTTGAACGAGGTTCAAGTATATAGGAGATGGCGATTGACGCTGCAATTAAATTTTTTAAGATTGTAGTTATCAAGGAAACAAGTTCCACAGGCAGGAAGTGCGAGAAAAATTGGCGGCTACATTTAACTATTTCAACAGTAAAAAGTGGGACCTAGATGCCAATTTAGTAACATGCTTAAATTCACGTAGTTGGGTCACCAGGGGAAAAGATCGCCAGAACAGTTGCAATTTCCTGAAACTCACTCTTATTTTTGTATTTGTGGGTTTCATACAAGCAAAAACGTCCGAGTAAACAATAAAATAAAAGAGAAAAATATATTTTAACGAAATAAACTGTATTAAACCATGAAGTTCAGACAATTAAGAAGAGGCCAGCTGGCGGGGAGGGATGGGGAGAGAGAGTGATATATATATATATATATATATATATATTATATATATATATATATATTTACTGAACAATAAAAAAAATATTAAAAATTAAAATCTTCAGACACACTGGGTTGTAGATTAATATTCTTTCGTTTTTATTATTATTATTATATATATATATATATAAAGAGAGAGAAGGAGGCTAGCCTATCAACGGCTGGCCTAATCTACTATAAAGATTAGCTTTATCATTTATTTTTTTCTTTTTAAAGCATTTACATTTTATCCATTACTATAACTAATTTTTTAAATTTTATATATTTTTTTTTTTTTTATTTATCATCGATGTAGAACGTTTATACTCACTCGCCAAAATCCATTATTCGTAAGTCTTCCTGTTTCTTTTTTTTTCTCGCCTTACCTCAAACGAAATCATACGTTTCAGCTTTTCATCACTGCTCTTTACTCTTACTTTCTTCGGACTCATGGTATGAATGAAGGAATTTTGCAAAATAACGTTAACAAAAAATAAATAAATAAATAAAAATAAAAACACAGCAGAGATTCTTCCAGAGCGAGGTGAACACATGTAAGGCGAATGGAAATACTATGGAAGCTTGGCGCTCGCTGCGCAAAATAGCGGATGATTAACTGAAACTCGCTCGTATCTCAAGACAAAAAGTCGGCCGAACTCCGGCTCGTATCCCAAAATGATATATTTAAATATATATATATATATATAGGCGATATATATATATATATATGAAGATCGAATTGTTGTATCAAAAACACTTTCACAAATCTATCTGCCCTTTCTCTTTATTTGGAGATGTATATCATATTTTCCTTTTTTGAATTTTTTTCCTTCTATTTATTATGTGCATGTGTTTGACCTGCCATTTGATTGGGAGATCAGAAAGTAATTCGGTAGCTCATTTGGGAGTTTACAAAAAGGAGGGAGAAAGCAAGACTCCAAAATTTAAAAAAAAAAAAAAAAAAAAAAAAAAAAAGGGCTTGTCTTGAAAAACCAATCAAAAGACGGGTTAAAACTAACATAAAAAAATGAAAATAAGGCTAGAAGTTAAAGGTAAGTGGGTTATTAATAAATGTCTAGGGGAGTTGACATATTAGACACATTGAGCACAGATGACATCCTGTTACAAGCTACAGTGAGGCAGATAGAATCAGCCGATTTCGCTATCTTGGTTTCAACCTTTCAGTATCTTCAGGCGATTTGGGTCAATTGATGTCCTAAAGCTTTATTTTTTTTTAAATAAATAAATGAATAAGCGCACGACGTAAAGTGCGGCAGAAGGGGGAGGATTAGAAATGTATCAATGGAGGATTAAATGAAATCTATATACTTTTCTTTAACTCATTTCAAATGAACTCGAATGTATGTATACAACGAGACATAATTTCCGAGCTCTGATTTATGTTTTTTGGTCTGGAAATTTTATTATAGCTAATTTCTCTTGTTAACAAAGGTTCCAGATTTTGATTTTTGTAAGGTTTTGTGATATATATATTTTAAATTTAGGTTTGAACAGTTGTATCTTACAAATGATTAAAGATATCTTACTAGAATTCTCCCAGTTTTTTATAACACTATTCTACTGTACTTTGAACAATAAGGATATATAATTACTCTCAAACCTTAAAAGAAGAATCGTAATGAATTCGATCATAAACGAAAAAAGATGTTCCATCATTAATTAATCATAGTTAAGGATAAGAAGCTCATGAAAGATTGAAATAAAGTTCAAATGGAAGCTTAAATACCGGTATTTATTTCTAATTGATAAGAACACATCTGGCACAAGTTCAAACTGTTAAGCATCAAGAGTTACTCCGCCTTTGGCAATGACATCCTCAACCCGCTTCCACAATGTATCACAAGCAATTTTAATGAATTCTTCAATGTTCTCCACCCAGGTCTTATTTATAGCTTTTTTGAGCGCTTGCAGTTTACTGTGGGGCATCTCACAAGCTTTTCTGGTCAGTTCATTTAAGATCCTGAAGAATAAGATGGTATACACAAGATGGAAATATTCCGTTCGAAATTTGTGCGAATGGATGGACGAAAAAAAAAAAAAAAAGACAAAGTGGGAATGTTAAAGGGTCAAAACGATAACTTAGAACAACACTAAAAATGAAATCGCCGGAAGCTACAGTCGTTCACACGCTAAAAAGACGGAACATTCGAAGCAATGTGCAGATAAATCTCGCTCAAAATTATTTAAACCCTTTTTTATATTCAATGAATTTACAACTTATTTTTGTGTTTTCTTTTAATGGGGTAAGATGATGACAAACGATTGTCAGAAATAATATTAGTGGGTGCAAAAATAATGTCGTTTTTTGACGTTCAACTTCAAAGAGAAAACGACATTATTTTTGCACCAACCTAATAAGATATTTACGAAAAAAAAAAAAGAAAAAAAAAAAGCCGCATCCAAATTTAATCGTACTTTTTTTTTTCTTTATTTTTGACATAGCTTCCAATCTGTTGTAATTACTAATAAAATTCAACGTCCATACTTTGGGATTTTATAATTCTTTTGTTAACACCACCACAAGATTTCCTTACTATCACCCAGTCATACACTTTCTTCGCGTGTCATCGCGAAAAAAAAAAAAAAAAAAGTTTCAATCCCAATAATCTTGCAATGAGCATCAACAAAACAGGTGAATAATCTGTTTAGATAACTGATCTAGACATAACTTCTCAATGCTTTCCATTACCAGTTCTTTATAGATTGATCAAGGGATGGAGGGCCAAATTACAGCTTACCGAAACCTAACGATAGTCAAAATTTTGTGTGCCTAAGTACCTTGTCAATCTAAGAGACAGTCATTTTATTTTAGGCATAAAAATTATTTTTCGGTAACAATTGTCATATTCGTAATAACTTTTTCATGTGAAAATGTGATAATATTACCTTTGTTCTATTAGAATAAATATACAGTGTAACCCGGATATAAGAGAGTTGGCGGGACCGGAGAAGAAGTCTCTTATATCCGGGTTTGATCTATTTTATATACATTAACACAGGCTCTAATTTGGGACCAGAGAACATCTCTCTTATATCCGGGTCTCTTATACCCGGGTTACACTGTAGTAAAACACTGAAGGAAGTAAGTTTCCAGGGAAACAGAAAAATAACTTATATTTCACCAGAGCTGATCCATAAACTGTCGGCTAAATTCAACAGAGATCAATTTGTTCAGTTGTCAAATTATCCAACTCAGTGTTACATATTCTCGACAAACATTCAATAAATGTCCTAAAGTTACTCCTTCAGGAAATAATTTGTCTATCAATGTTCTATTTATACGGTATAAAGTCCACAAGCACGACACGTTTGCTTCACACAGCGTTAGCATAAATTTCTTCGCTAACTGCAGAAAACTTCTTTTACTTGGGCTCATTAAGCATAGGTGTTTTCAGTTCATTGAATCGACAAAAGTTCCTTCAAATTATCCGTTTTGATCCATCAATCATTTATCCGAAGAGTCGTTCCACGCATTTGGGGAAAAATAACATGATGCGGGCAACTTTATTTGTACAGTAATAAAAATGTTGGTTTAGTAGATGTTTGCATATTATTTTCGATCATCGTTCGTCTATTGAAAATATAGCTATTTTATATGCTCGCACAACTAACAGAGCTATCGAGACAGAAGCAAATACATTTTACTTTCAATTAAGACTTAATTGGTGAATAAACACTATTCTTTCTTTCTTTACCGATCTACATAGAAATGAAGAAAATGCGTTAATGTTTAAATCTCTTGTCGAACGTCTTTTCAAATGCGCAGTTTTAGATATTTTACATAAAAATATGAAAACGAAAGAATCAGCTTCAGATCATAAAGGGTAAACATTGAACAGTGACTGATTACATTTTTTTTCCTGTCGACTCATTTAATTTGGTTATTTTAACGAATGATTTAAGTTACTTTCTGAACGTTTTCTGTCCCATGTCATCTGTCGTTCTGAACCTCTTGATGTCAAAATCGAAGTAATGTTGATTCTGACCTTTATGAAGAAGCTATTTAATAAGTTTCATGGTGTAATATCGAGAAAGCGCAAGAAAACATCGTCAGAAAGGTGTTGTTTTTTAAAAATGTTACTATGTTTGTTGCTGACTTTCATCGTTTGTCAGTGATTATTTTCATTATCACTCTTTGTCCAGGTTTCTCGTTTGCTTTCTTTACAGTATTTTTCTCAATCCTACGTTGCCCTTTCCGGTTTTGCTTAGTTTTCTTTTACTCTTTATTTTTATCACAATTCTTTGAGTCATATTTTCTCTCAGACTTTCTATTTGTCCAAAATTAGTCTTGCGTTCTTTCTTTCTTGATACAGTCCAATCTTTCTCAACTAATGATTTTTTTTGTTACTATTTTGTTTAAAAATCACGCACTTGTTTTTGTTCTAATCTACATTTTTTTTTTTACTTCGCAATTTTTGTTTTCAATGAAATTCTTCATATTTCGGTTTCCTTTCAGTTTTCTTGCTGACAAAATGTTTATTTTATTGTCTATCGACGTGCGCCATTTATTCTTTTTTTTTATTCTGCTGTAGTTAATTCTTCCGAATAATATATCTTTTCTAGCGCTCAAAATATTTCTTATTACAAATTTGTTCAAGCGTACTCACATATTCTTCTATTTAACAAGATGTACATGAAAAATTTACTGAAGATATTTGCTTGCATAATCTGACAGTGTATAAAGAAATCTGTTCAGAAAGTGCCCAGCCATTTAATATTAACAAAATATTCTCTTACCAAGAGCATTGCTATCTTTCAACGGATTCCATTCAGGGTCGTAACAAAATTTTATTTGTGCTGTGCACACTGAATTATCCTCGAAAGCCTTAATTATTTTAAGTTTCCGTGAGCAGAACAACCAAGTTTCATGCAACACTTGATCATATACGTTATAGTTACTAAGGTTATATAAAGAGAAAAAAACCCAAAAATAAACTCGAAACATATCGTCTCATTGTTCACACACAAACACAGAGGAAGACCCCGAAACATCAAAGAGGAAAGTATTCAAATTTGCTTAGTTAGATACTGTAATTGGCAGCCAAATTATATGAGAGTTTTCGAAATATTCAAACAGCTGGATAATTTCCGGATAGATATTACAATACGCACACAGGCGTGCGAACATATGGGTTGACCAAAAAATGTTTGTTCGGTTTATTAAGTCAATTTTCTACACAAGTGAACGAATATTTTGGTCAAAACAATTATATAAAAAATAAAGGGACATTAAAGTCAACACCCGGTGTTTCATGCCGAACGCAATCGTCATGGCCTGATGATTGTGTTTAGCATGAAACAAGTTGTAATAACTGGATGTTACGCTTTATCCTTGATAGCGCACTTCTGTGTGGTGTAATGGTTATCAAGCTTCTTTCGCTAGATCTATTAAGCCTGAGCAGTGAATCCGTTTCTCACCGAGAACTCCGTACTTGTTGTCTCGCGACCTATCTAAGACTTATTAATTAAATTATAATATACATAAAATAAAATACTCATATGGAATTTAATTCCAATACCGGATATGATTTTATAAAAATACAGTACTCAGTATCATCTAATATTACTTTTTTTATTGATCTCATCGAAACGGGGCAAGCATATGCGTAACTTTATATATGTTTATGTATCATTTTATTCAAATATTTATTTCCTAAATTTCGTTTATTTTCCATTTTGTTTTTGCTTTCATTCGCTATTTCAACATGAATATCTAATTTCTTCTTCCGTCCATTTCGTTCTATTTCTCTTTTCTTAATTTGGCATTTCTTTTTATCACGCATCATAAATCCTCATTTCTTTCATCCCTGACACATTCAGTTCTTTTTCACGGCAATCTCTTTGAATTAGTTTTTAAACCGAATGCCAATCACAGAGGGACTCAATTGCCTTCTTGACACAAAATTCCATCGAAATGATCATTAATATCAAATTTTGGAGCAAACTTTTCGAAAAGATTTTTTAAAATATCCAAAAAGTTCAAGATAAATTTCTTCGAGAGCAAAATTAAAAAGAAACGATAAAGTTCTGGTTTTCAGAAAGGAAAAAATATCAAAGCAAATGCAAACTTTTCACTGTATGATTTAAGGCGAAGTCATTCCGTTTAAATATTTTATATCTTGATATTTCATTAAAATTCAGAATTCTGAATCGATAAAATAATTCCATTTTAAGATACCGATTTAGATTGGCGTTGCAGATCTTTGCCAAAACATCGATTCTTTAACAGACATTTGCACAAATTTGTAAATGTAAAACTGTAACTACATTTACTGTATTTCTTGTGTATGAAAAATATTGGACGAAAATTAAAGGCGAAAACGGAGGGGGGGTGAATTATACACAAGCGAACGTTTTCAGAAATTTTTACTCGGCCTAAAAAACCCTCTTATTTGGAACGATAAGATTGAAACCATTCTCAGAACAATGAAAAATCAATGTAGACAAGTGTTGATAATTTTTTTTACAGAAAGGTAGATATGTCGGCAATATTTATTCTTTGAGACAAATTACGCTGATTCCCAAAGACAGGAAGTTCACTGAAATTGACTAAAAAAATAAAGGCAATGAAAAGATCTGTCATGTTTTACACAGGCATAACTATTGTAAAAATTATGTAGGTTTTTAGTTTTTTCCGCTTGAAAAAAAAATATTGGGCGATAATTCCCTATGCATTGTTGACAAAGTATCCAGTTTGAAACAGAAAATGATTAGAGAAAAAAAACAAAAAGAAAAATATATGCATAAACAACCCGACATAATTATATCCCTATGTAAATATTGTACACTGGTACTTGTAGTTTTAAATCGCGAAATATTACGATGGTTTATGTAGATACGTCATTGAGATTTTAATGGATAATACCGTACAACTTAAAAAAATTTATAGATATTGCTAACTACGGAATCGTATTATACTCAAGAATGAAGCTAAAAATGGTGAATAAATTACAAACTAATATACACAAGAAAATATGTTCCTCAAGGCTAATGTTTGGTCCCGTATCAATCTAATCAAATATAGTTTACACATTCTGAACAATAGCCAAGGGGACAAAACGATTTAAAAGAAATAAGAGACGGTGATCGCTCAGAAAGTAATACCATCTATTTTATTATCTTGACCTATGATAGGAAGGGGCCATATATCAGAAAATGATTAAACTTTCCTCTAATAATCCAGTTTTTGGGTTTGTTTTTTTTTTTTCCTGACATGCAAGTGCGAACGAAGCAGATATGTGATGGAATTCTTCCAGGTGGAAAGTGCACTCAGTGGTATTAACGCTTGCTGAATGGTTTCGGAGACAGTAGATATGAAAACAGGCAGTGGATCATATACTCCAACAATTACGACAGCGATATGGCAGCCCTGTTACAGCTGTTCATTGCTATCGAAAATGTACAGACAATGGTGCTATGTGGAACAAAATGGCATTTTGTAGGGGTAATCTTGTACTAACCGATAGTTTTATTGTGCATTCCGTATCTGTTACTACTTTGGACATTAGAAGCATTGCTTTAAGAGCCTCTCTTATAGTAAATTTGTTCTTATTAGATGCAACTTGCAGTTTGGCATAAAATAGCCCAGAAGGTTCGCATTTCTAGTTTCCCTTCCAGTTTGGAATCTCTCAAGAATAATAAAAGAGGCGCTATTCTATTTAAATATCAAGCGTAGAAGCGACGATCAGTAAATACCAGTAATGTAGTTGCCCTGTGATCCGAAAGTAAACAGAAAAGTTCAGAGGAGGAAAGAAATCGGTTTGGAGAGGTAAGTGACAGGCAGTAAGACAGAAAGTGTTTAATTTGTGAAGGGAAATTTTTAGAAAATACGAGAAAGAAGTTGATGAGAATTCGAAATAATAGATAATTCAAAGTTCATAAAGTAGAACAGCAACAAAAACGAAGAGGATTTTTTTTTAATTTTAGAAGAAAAAGAGAAAAAGTAACTGATGAGATGAAAGATTTAGGGGTGAAAAAAGGTGGGAAACGAAGAGGTTACAAACAAAAGGAAAAGTGGGGAAAATTTTACAAGAGGAAGACAGGAAAAAGGAGAAATGAAAATAAAACGCCGCAAAAATACTAGATTCCAAAAAGAGGTAAATTAAATAATGACGGGAAGCCAAGGGAGCGAAAGTGAAAACAATAAAAGGATTTAAAGAGATGGACGAAGAAAATAAGGTAAAGAAGAACGAGTGAAAGTAGTGAATAGAAAAAAAACAGGATAAAATGAGTGAATAGTAGAAAAGATGGCGGAGAAGAAAGGAACGAAAGATGGCGGAGAAGAAAGGAACGAAAGATGGCGGAGAAGAAAGGAACGAAAGATGGCGGAGAAGAAAGGAACGAAAGATGGCGGAGAAGAAAGGAATTAAACCAAATAAAAAAAAACAGTGCGAAAAGCGGCGTACAAATGAGAAGTGGAAAAACTCGAGATAAAAACGAAAGAAAAAGGAAAAATTTTGAATTATTAAAAATTGTATATTATGGAAAAAGAAGGAAATGTGTACGGAAAGATGACAAAAGTGTTTACATCGAAGAAATGGATTCAAGTGATAAATAAATGGCGGAAGAATTTGTTTGGTCAAAAGAGTGGTCAGATTTTTCTAATATAATGTCCAAGACTGTCTACCAAACCAAGTGAAATTAATTACAGTAGGAATAAGTAATTTCGGCGGCAACTATCTGAATATGTGTTCAGCAAGATCGTCTCGCTGAACACTGCTTCAATAAGGAAGTGAATGTTCATTGGATGACCCATATTTGGAGCCTGGTGCCAGACTAAGACAAGCTTAGTAAATATCTATATGTAGATTTGGAGATTTAGTACTGCTTTGATACGAAGCAATAGTTTTTAATATTACGCAGTGCATATTTTAGGAAGGATTTAGACCGGCTATATCGATTTATAGACCCACGTGTATACACATCTTAAGCCCCTATATCGATAAATACATACAATATTGAAAGATTTATTCTGACAAATGAACTCCACTTTTGCGTCACATTTACACATATTTATTCTCCGGCCTTCTTCAAGTGTAAAGAAGACATTTCCGTTCTATTGATTTACACGAATTTTCCTCACCAACTTTGTTATCACAACGTTTCGAACATTCTATCTTCCAGTCATCGTCAGGTGCTTGTCGATTGGTGTAACGGTCAAGAATTTCAATTCGAACCATTCATTTAATCTAAGGAATCAGATTGCTATCTCAAGCTGTACAGGTCTATGGATATCTTGTCCCTTTTTAGTACTGTACAGTTATTCCTAGTCCTGACAGTACTAACCGACACTATTTTTTTTCATGAGTAGAAGGTATATATATATATATATATATATATATATTATATACACACACACTCTTCAGACGATTTGAACGGATCGCATATGTATGAAATCTGAAGATCGGGTGGGCGTGAAATGAGTCACGACTACAACCCTCCTTTCATAGGATTTAACGTTGATAAGCGTTTTTCCTCGGTCTAAGTAATGTAGGCTTCGAGCACTTAACTAATTAGCTAAGTGTGCTTTCAGGCTTTTTTCTATATTGATTTATCGTCTTTATTCTGGATCTAGATAACATTTTAGATTTTGACAAGCTCTCCTCAGGTTCCACCAATTGTTTTTCGTCAAAACACACACACACACGTGTGTGTAGAGTCATTTAATAAATATCTAACTCTTTATTGAAGCAATGTTCGGCGAGATAAACTTGCTGACCTTATTTAGATACATGCCGACAAAATTGCTTATTTCTATTGTCCTTATTTCACTTAGTTTGGTGAAGTGGTTCTTGAACATTATATTAGGAAAATCTGACCGCTCAAATAAAACTAGAGGACGATATTCCGATAATAAATGTTAACACATTATCCAAATAAAAAATTAAAATATGCGAATTTTCTTCTGTTCATCTTGTAAAGTTTCTCACTCTTTACGGTAAATACAAGAGAAAGATTCTGGAATGAATTGAACGACATGTGGAAACAACATTAGAAAGACTAGGAACAACCAGTTCAATAAACTCATGTTGGCATCTAAGTTACTCTTAAATTTACAAAAAGAAAAGTTGATTTTGAATACTATATACACCGCGACTTACATTAGCTACCGTATATACTAGTGTAAAAGCCGGCAGATCATGCTTTTAAGGATGATCTGTCAAATGCCTACCTGGCACAGGGCTCGCCCCTGGGCTGGTGGTATCACGGCTAGGACTAGGTTGGACCGGCTCCGGCTTGGACCAGCTAGGACAAGCCAAGGCCAGCTTTGACTAGCTTGGACCAGTGGCCCGAGTGAAAACATTTGAGTCCCCACGTTAAAAACTGACCTTGTGTCACAACCTGACTCAGTGGTGGTGTGGGGGTCAAGTAAATATCTACTAGTGTAAAATCCGACTTCATGTATAGTGCGAAAAATTGAGAGATATCTGATGGGAGAACAACGTTGTAAAAATAGTAAAAAGATAATCAGTAGGCATCACCTATTTGTAAAAGTCCCTTTAAGATAGTGGGTGACAAGTACAATTTCCTAACGAATAACTGAGGACTAAAGATTTTAAAAATTCGCTACTGCCAATCAATGATATTTTTTAAGTATCGGGACAGCGAGAAAGTGTAGAAAAGCACTTCGGATTCTAAAGTAGGTAGAACATTTTACACCGATCACTGGACCAACTTAAAAAACAAAAAACATCAATAATGACAATCGAATTAAATGGATATGAAAACTAATGTGTTCTTGTCATGGACAAATGCAGTGCTACTTTCGGCAGGCCAGACGAATGGGCAAAGGTTAAATGGCTACTGGCGTAAATCGATACTTTAACAGGCTGGAATCGTCTTTTACGGTTGTATTACAGGTAGTTATATAATCGGTACATAAGGAGTCCCAAATGGTATTAAAATACCTTGTTCAGGTATATGTTGATTATTGAAAGCAAATGTAGTGTGATAGTTCAAGAAACAGTTATTCACGTGGTTTCTTAGGCAACGTTTTAAAACTTGCTCTACGGAGATTCTCCAGTATTTCTTAACCGTCATATTTCGTTTGTCAGTTACGTTAAGTTTAGCAATCTCTAAAATCAACTAAGAGTGTTAAAATGTGAATGATAGCATATATAATCTAACTGAAATCAGGCAGGAGAATATTTTAATATTTAAGCTATGAATAAGAATGATTACTAAATCGCAATAAAAACAAAATAGTGGATAATTCTTCAATAACACATGTGCGAACATACATTATATCTTTTACTCCTATATGATCCACGTGACCCAGGACTGGATGGAGAGAAATTTTCATATTCAATCATTGTCAATATGTGGCCAGTGAGCTCTACTGGCTTGAATCCGAAACATTAATACGTCTAGTATATCGACGGGATGGAAACTAAACAGCGGCCTCACAATACAAATAACTCACTGAAATTGACGCTCCAGACGAATGATAACCTGATCCGAACATACGATCTCTGATAAGATGATGGAATTAGCACACTTAAAGGATTGTTTATTTAGCAGTATATAAAATAATCACAGGCATGATGCGAAACATTTCTTTCAATAGTTGAACAATCTGGTTTCATAAAATACACCGTAAAGAAACTAGAGGTAAATTATTTGAATTAATGGTTTCATTTTTTTCCAAGTCATGCAACGGAAAACTCTATAAAATAACCCAACATTGATGAAAAAAATAGGAATTAATACTTATCTATTCTCGAGCATTTATGACAATATTAATTCTTTTAGGCATGGAATTCTCTAATTTAAAGCGAAATTCTTTATCGAAGTGGTTCGAACTTTTCTGAGTGGCGGTTAGTAGATCTTTGGTAAATGGAGACTTCTAACAGACAATTAAAAAACAACACACACACACATTCTACGATGAATTTTCAAGTGGATTTAGATCCAAACTGTTGACTGGTCATGTCATTAATTTCCTATGCCTTTCTCGAAGAAGGGCTTTAATCCCCTTTTCTCTGCAACAAAAGGGATTATTGCGCTGAAAAATGACTTAATCAGACCAATTTTCTATCGTTGGAATTAGAATATTATCCAGAATTTCAATGTATACATATACATTGATTATTGGAGGCAATGATTGCCATATTTCTTTGTCATTTAAAAGACACAGGAATGCATGTCATTACTTTGTAAATGTACTTATTTACTTCAGGAAGTCATCTTCGTGTTTCATTCTGACGCTACCAAACAAAAGTTCCAGAAAATCAACTTGAGTGCAGATTATGTATTCATTACTGAATATCACGTTCGTCCAAACGCCATGATTTTTTCTCTTTAGCTCCAGTTTCTTCTGAGTGTTTGGATTTTGTGTATATACATCATACTTCATTTAGCAGCATTTCTTACTGTTTTGACACAAATATTGACTCCTATTTTGACCCATTTGGTTATTTGTTGTACATTTTTATTTTCAAGGCATATTACTTTGATTAATTTTTTTCTTGAAGATTTGAGTTTTTTTTTTTTTTTTAAAAAACAAAAAAAAAACAAAAACACCCACCTTCCTAATTAAACCAAATTTAAACACAGCGGAATGGGAACCACCGACGTCTTTCTCTACTGTAAATTGACTTCTTCCATTTTTTTTTGGGTGGGGGGAGCCATATTTGAAAAAAAAAAAAAAAAAAAAAAAAAGCCCAACCGCATGTTGTCTGCAAGAAATTTTAACTCTAGGCTTCGGTTGATATTTAGGAAAAATTACACAATTTTTACTCAATATGGCATCATTGCCGAACATTTTTCTACGTTGCTTGGATAAAGTTATACCTTTAACTTAAATAATTACATCTAGTTTGTTTACAGTACATTTTTATTGAGCCAGAGTGTTCAGCTAATAAACGTATTTTGAGTCTTTTTTTTATTATTTAACAGTAAAATTACCATATTTAACATATGCTCAGAGTTGTAAGACGCACCCTATATTTAGGTAAATATTTTTTGGGGAGAAAAAAAAAAGTATTTAATAGCTTACCCTACTAGAAAGACCAAGTCGCCGACCCTACATTATCATTTTTCTGTCAACAAATTATCCCATTTTAGATCTATTAAAAATTTGTGATTATTGTTACATTTTCTATAGTTTAGCACAATTTTATACCTATTCACATAAGATAACTCACATTTACCAGCACGATTCCCTCCCCTCAAAGACACAGTATATATGGCATGATATTAACGGAATATACGGTATTTATTGCATATAGGCTTTTATTGTATATCTGGGGGGGTTCGTGATTGCTTATATCTCGCGACTGCAACATTGCCTTTCAGTACCAAGACATTTTTCAGGAATAAAAATTCGTCTTAGTATACACAACGTATGGTATGTAAACATTCGCCAAATCTGCCAATTCCATAATTTTCCAAGAACCCTTTTAGTATCTTCTAAATCCGCACAGAAGCCATTCTCGAGGCTGCAGGCGGTTTTATGTAATAACATTTTTCCATTTTTTTTTTTTTTCAAGTTGAATATATATCTTCTTGAAAACATACCTATTTTTCTATTGAATCTATTTACCTCTCTTTAGATTCATTTTTTTTTTCCTCAATTACACCGCACATCCAATAGATATTAATATTGGAAAGTTAAATCGTATGTACTACATTTGTATGAATCCTTTTTGAAAATTGGTTTGGTTTGTGGCATACCAACATCAATGGGTTATTTAATGCGGACAACATTTTTATTGCTGCTAATATTTTTTTTTCTTCCAAAAATCTATTGCTGCCAATTTTTTTCCAAAAATATATTGCTGGTAATATTTTGTTTGTAATAATTTACCTTCAAAAAAGCATTGCTGGTAATAACTTTCTTCAAGACTACATAGCTGGTAATTTTTCCTCGACAATGTATTTCTGGCATTCCTATTTTTACACCTCCACAGCGTTTTGACCCTCAGATTAGGGGGTCAACTATTTGCCAATAGCTGGGACATGATACATCTGGGAAGACTAGCAATTAAGAAATGCTTCCACACTCCTAATCAAAGGCCTTGATGTAGTATAATGTCATACTCAGGAAGGAGATGTAGTTTATCGTCATACACAGGATAAAGTTTTTGAAAAAGGTTACCGAATGATGCCTCACGGTTCAAAAACTACATGAGTGTTGATTAATAAATCAGAAGCTAAACTTTAGACGGTATAATATTTGATCGATGTTTATAATATTACAGAGTTGAATGTGTTGACGAGGAAGTGGATTATGTTAAATAAATGCTCTTTCCATACTTAGGCTCCCGATTTACTGATGCAGTCAACTGCAAACGGATAGATCATGTAAGTGCTGCAAATTTTATCTGGATACGAATATAGCGTTTCGGTAGAGGAAGATCGTTTCACGATTTTCTCAGGCGAAAGATGACCTGCGTGACATTAAACAAATCCAGAAAGGATAACGGGGAAATGGACTGAATGATCAGTATTTTCGATAACATTTTCTGGAAAATAGAAACCCGATCTTTATTCAAACGGATATCTGGAGTAGTCTGTAGAATGAATCAGACGAAAAGTTGTAACCGCAAAAGAAAGAAGAGGATCGGCTTTAAAAGTTCAGATAACTCTTAAAAATATTTAAGTTGATCTCTTTTGGGGTAGAGAGAGAGAGAGAGAGAAAAAGAGAAGATAGAAAAAAAAAAACCCCAAACAAACAAGTAAATGGAGTATGACAAAAAGAAGTGAGTGGTTGTTTGTTTTTGCAGCACATCAACCTGTATGGGTTATTTAATGCCGAACTCTGGATAGTCTAAATCTAAGTACGCATTTTTGTGGTGGAGGACATAATGGTGTTAGTGATACAATTCTTATTAACCCATAGCTGGAGAGAGAAGAGGTGGATTCATACCTTTACCAAACATAACTGAATATAACGAACGCAACTAGAATTGGAACTCTGCTCTTCGACTGCCATACACCACCTGCCCATCCAAGCTTACAGCACTTGGTATTCCGAAGCGGTCACCTTTCTAGGAACTGACCAGACTCGACGTTGCTTAACTTCGGTGATCGTACAGGAACCGAGGTTTCAACGTGATGTATCCGTAAGTCACAGTGTGTAATTAGAGGGAAAGTAAATAGCGTTAACGATAGACATCAGCTGAAATTATGTTTCTTGAGGAAAATCGTCAATGATCCGACTGAAAAAGAATTGCTATATTGACAGGAATAAAAAAAAAACGAAGCAGTAATAAATTAAAGTATGATCAAAGCGAAAAAAAAAAAGCAGACTGAAGAACGACCAAAAAGATGACAGAGTTAAAGAACAAAGGAAAAAAAAATGATAGCTATCCCAAAAAGAATTGAATAATGATACTAAGTATTTACAGAGCGATAAGTAAAAAAAAAAACAAAAAAACAAAAAGCCCCAAACTGATAGGAAATAAAAGCCCAAACAATTACTGGAACTTTGGAGAATAGATCTTTTTAAAATCCTTTCACTAAGCAAGGTGATAAAAGCTACTAAGACGCAAGGGTTTAGTGAGAATGGAGAAAACGTTATTGAGAAGAGTGGGTAAGAAAATAACAGGGATTAGGGAGACAGGAGTTGACGATTGACATTGTATTAAAATTTTTGAAGATCTTACTTGATTGGAAAGCAAGGAACCGGAATTGATTTCCACAAGAGAGTAGTGCAAGAAACTTTTAGCATAGAAATTATGATTACATCTAACAATTGCAACGGTGAATATATGAGACGTAGCTGCCAACCTAGTACTGTGTTTAAATTCGCGAAGGCGAGACACAGAAGTGAAATGCTTATTAAAACTAACATGAAAATATTCATAGAAAAAGCATAAGGAAACTGTTACTGTGGCAGGAAAGTGACTGAAGCTGAAATGCCAAGACAGGACCGATAGCATTGCAAATTCTTTGGATTTTATCAAGAATCTTTAGATACATAGAAGGACCAAATCAGATGCGGTAGTAATAGTCAATGCATGGATGAATGGCAGACCGAAAGATATCTAAGATTCTGGTGAAGAAAATTGTCTAGTACGATCCAACTTTTCTAGCAGCCGACCTAAAAATTGATTCTACCTCATATCAGTTAAAAACGAGAGTGAAAATTAAATCGGATGTCAGATACATAAATCTTAATAGCGCAACGATCGATAAGCTTCAATAAGCTACTATTATCTACTTATCTATCTACTGATAAATCTAATTACTCCAGTTAATTCGAATCTGTATTTGGGGCGCTTGCCGTAGAGTAATTGTAAATGGGCATTGCAGACTATTTGCAAGAGTTGTGAGTTCAGTTCCCACAAGGAGCCCGATTATTATGGCCAGTTTAAGCTAAGACTGATGATTATCAATTCACCTGTATTTCCATATTTCCTTAGTCGGCATAAAGGCTATATTAAATAGAGTAATATTTGAACCACGGAATCAGAAAATATGGATATAAAATTGTAAAAATCAGAAAAAATAGGCAAATAAAAGAGAAAAAGAAAACACCGAGAGTCAAAATAAAAAAAATCTAAAGTTGTTGACTGACTGAAAATAAGATTCTTTATATTTTTTTTAATCGTTCAAATCTGTTACTGAGTTTTTCTTTTTGTAGTACCTTTAACTAAGATCTTATTGTATAAAATCAATGTTATCATAATAACATCGATATTGTGACAGGAAAGAGCTTAAGAAAGATTTATTCTTCCATTTAAATTTACCGCGTAACAGAATAACTGAATGGAAAAAGATTGACAAACACGCTTTGTTCTCAGAGTTTTAGAATACTACGTCATACACAAATTTAGATATAGACATGCATATAATTTCTCTATGTGGAAAACGTGTATAACATATGCAACAACAAACGGTGTGTGAAAAAAAAAAAAAAAAAAGAAAAAGAGGAATCTTGTAATATTTCCCAAATGGAAAACTGGAGTTACGGTGGTTTGTCTACGGACCTGGTTCGGCCATGTGTTTGGGTTTTTTTTCCTGTAAGACATATCGCTGTGGGGGGGGGGCGTTCTTCTGTGTTCTACATAGCTGCTGTCCTTCGTCACCATCACCGGCCCATGTTGACTGTGCGAAGGAAAGGAGACAATCGCCGTTTGTATCCCTACCACATTAACTCGTAATGTAGTTAATTTTTTTTCAGCATATATTTATATGGTAAATATACCATGTAAATTTTAGCTTATTAGAAATATTTACAGTTTTTAGCTTATTAGAAATATTTACAGTAGTTTATTCGGTGATGCAACATTTTATAATGAGACCAGATAGTTGCTCATATTTTCAATTTATATAGTATAGTTATTTTACTTTTCAATTTCGGATATATGATTGCTATAGGTCGTAAGAAAAATAGTGAATGATGTGATCACAACATTGGAAATTGAGAAAAGGACAATGAATAAAAATAAAATGAAAATTTTGGCAAGAGAAAACACTAGCTTTAAGAAAGTTAAAAAACTAGGTAAAAAAAAAATTAAAATGGTAAAATTAAGAGTAAAAATCAAGAAAGTATTTAAAGCCCGTGTTGAATGTAGACAGCAAAAATTCAAAATATTAACACTGACAAAGACACGTAAGCGACCAAACTATTTTGATTCAATCTTAAAGAAAAGCGTAAAATTTGAAAACTGATTTTTCGAAAGTAATTTTAATGCTGAAGAGGAATATAGGATGGATTTAGTGCTTGATCCCAAGGTTGGATCAATCTTGAAAATAATGAACTAACAACGTAGAGCATAAAAGCGAGGAGCTAAAGTAAATTTGGAGGCTTGTATACTCAGCAGCGAAATAAGTCCGTTCAAAGTTCACATCAAGAGAAAAATGTAAAGAATTATTATAAAATTATAGGCAATTCATATTTGAAATCATACAGGTCACATCTATAGGCTATATTCATGCCAAACAATGCCCCCTGTACATTCTGCACAGCTAAGTATTGCCGACCTTGCTGGAAAATGTTTGAAGCCGTCTACAGATATTACCCCAATAGACAACTAAATAGATTGAGTTGTATATGGGGCGGGAGAGAGAAATGATATGCATATAGTGATATTTAGGAAAGAGAATTGTTGTAATTTTAAATTAAAAATAAGAGAAAAGTTAAAATTAATGATTAAATAACTGAAGGTGATAGAATGTTAAGGAGCCATATTAATATTTAAAATAAATTGTTGCGTATACGAAATATTGTTTTATATTTCTACACTATATATTTTGAATTTATAAAATTTTTTTGCACTTTGTTTTCATAATAAAAGTGACACCCACCTCACCAAAACAAGCTGTTTTAATAAAAATAGATAAATCAATATACGTTTCAGATTCCAAGTAATATATTCTAATTATAGATTGGAAATTGTTATCGATACTATTCTATTAATATAATAATTGTAGATTGAAAACTTAAAATCTGACTCACATTTATTAGAAGTATGCTAAATCATTTGCCTCACTAAGGAGTGATTAGATTCGAAATTATTGTGTTTGATTGATTGATTGATGGTGTATAAATGCAAGCCCAATTTTGAAACTGGAATTTGATGCATCATTGGTGTCAACATCAAGGAAATATATACAGCTAAATCCTACTCCTCTCCCCTTTGCCATACTCAACTAAATCTATTCAATTTATCTTTCTCAGAAAAAAACTATTTTAACCTGACGAAGATTCAATGGGGGGGGGGTAAGGAAGATCGTGTAACGTAAGTCTTCCAAATGGTAAAAACCTGTAAATAGGAGAATAAAGTAAGGCAACGATTTATGCTATTATGAAAAAAAAAATTGATTCTTTTATTCAGTTTGTTTTAAGTGAAATATTTCAAAGACTTGTGCACCAGTTTAAAACAAATTGAATAAAAACAAGCAAGAAATGTTTTACTATTACAGCATATCTTATATTAAATTTAAAATAATTTTAATTCTGAATCGAAATTAAAATAATTCAAGCAAAAATTTATAAGGAAAAGACAAACATTGGTGAGTTGTTTTCAGTTCGAAATAAATACGAGTTAGATAATTGAATTTTTAGCAGAGTTCTACAAGCGCTTAAAAACGATTCCAGCAATGATAAAGAATGACATTAAATTACAAGAATAGCACCGTTCACCCCCCCCCAGTTACATTCAGTAACGTTCTCGGTATCTTAATACAAAAAGAACAGTTATTCAAAATGTATTTCTAAATTAGCATTCAAGAAAATGTTCCTTCTCGCATTGTTCTTATCCAACGATCCATCTAAACAGACTAAAATATTAACAGGCTGGGAGAGATATCTTTACCCTTTTTTTTTTTAAAATGATTTCTTATCAAGAGATTACTTTAATCTGATAATAGATAAGAAGTGATGAATCTTTTGTTAATCCACCCCAAAATAAAAAAAAAAAATTTACTTAAATTCACACCAGATTTCAGAAATGTCCTTTAAAATTTGTTCAAAATTGCATTCATTGTTATTTTTTGCCTTACGTCTCCAACTTTGACCAGAAATAAATATGATTTTATCGCAGAGAAGTTATGACCCTTGGAACTAATTTCCTTTCATTGGCGACTTCTTTTTACGGCATTCACTGAGACTGCAGCACCAGCTATCCTGTCGATCTATACTCAAACTCCAATGTCTTTTAGAGCATATCATCGACGTAAGAATATTTAATCTCTCTAAGAAGCGAACATCACTCTCCTTGTCGTTGCATTCTTGTATTAACTCCAGCAACTTCATGACAAGCTAAACAAATTTTGATTTAGAATTTAAGAATGCCAAAAAATTGAAAAAAAAAATAAAAAAATAAATAAAAAACAAAACAAAAAAAGACAAACAAACATTGATTTAAAATTTATTTCTTAGGAAAAGATCCGAAGTGATAAGTCTTAAGTATATCGAACTGATTAATATTGGAATACATTAGTTTGCATGTTAAATCATCAATATAGAAACATTTTATGCATAAGCTGAAAAATTTAAAATGTCAAAAGAAACAAATAAACAATAAAAATTAATAGCACAACTATATTAACCAACATTCATTTCCTGATTATTCAATTGATTGATTTCTTAAAGGCGGGACTATCTTC